GATACGCCGCGAGCTGCTCCACAAAAATGAATATTAAATGTTCTGATTGGTCATGGTTCATGACATCCAGTGCAGTCCTTTCGTATGAGGCAAATGGTCTTGATCTCGCGAAGTCTCTCTTAAGATCGTTTAACATGGAATTTGAAGAATCATCAGAAAAAACTGAAAAATTAGTCTACTTGGCCAAGATCTTTTCGTTGAATCTCTAGGATAATTACTACGACTTTTATCAAGCTGCAGATTGTTCCATTAGTTAAGCACAAATTATCATGGTGTGTTTCTTCTCATCATGAGAAGGCTAGCAAGTCATTTTTGTACTTGAACTTTTTTCAAATAGAGATGGATCCTTCCTAGCGAATGTATGGTAAAATTGATCCGTTACAGCATCTATTATCTGAAAGTGTATTAGACGAGATGTCCGAATAGATCACGACTTATCGATTATTCCCTCACATCTCTTTCAGTAACAGAGATAATATTACAATACGATATGTAACAGTTTACTGCTTTTGAATTTTTCTACAACGTCAAGTATAGGTAGAATATGTGACGCTGACTTTAAATGATGGTGATAAATGGATATCTTTCACTCAAACGATGGGTATGCGTAAGTGTTTTTCTGTTTATCAGATCTAAACTTACACTCTCTTATCCTCAAATTAAGCAATTAGGATTGGCGGAGAAGAATAGAATAATGATAAACAGGTGTGCAATAAACTGATTTGAAGATAAAGATGTGAATATACTGCTTGCTCTAGGAACACGAGTAGTAAAAGGAATCCAGGACAATGCTCTTTCTCCGCTAGTCATATGTAGCTTCTCCTTCTAGATGGAGATTCCTTTCAATGCCAATGATAAAGATATTCTCTTCGAATTCAACACCTACGAAGAATTTACTAAGGAGCGACTCAAATTGAACTATGACAATACACTCAAGTTGTGGTATTCTCTACCAGCCGATTTGTCAAATATCAACGATGAATTTGTCCAACGACGTACACCTCGACAACAGCAAAAAATCTTTCGAAAAATCAAAGTATTGTATATGTGCAGTAAATTGTTGAAGCGAACCTGTCTCAAACAGAAAATATACTCTAGAGGTGAGAAATTACCAGTATTTTTAAAGAAGGATATTAGAAGTAGACAAGATATACAATTCATAGTTCAGTCAAAACTATTTGTTCACAGGTATTCTTGTATTCAATGATATATTCGATATGCCTTCATCACACAATGAATCTTTCTACGAAATCTATCAAACATTCGTTCGCACCACTTTAGGCTTTGTGAACAGAGGAAAACGATATGATCAGAAGATCAACCCCGATGAATTGTTCAAAGCAGGTCGCCTTCTGTGGACCATGATAGCTATGGAAGTGCAGTTTAATTTACCATTGAAGATGACCGATTCGATCTTCGGCTACAATATGCTCTATCCATATACAGATGATTTCGTCGACTGTACTACTGTGTCTCAAAAAGCGAAAAAAGAATTTGCAGAAGTATTCCATGAACGATTACTCATCGGCGAATCGAACTATGATCCGAAGTCGCATTTTAATGGACAACAATCGAATGTAGCAGAATTGCGACTGCCATCATCGTTACAGTCTTATGCAGATAAAATTGGAAAGGTATTTGATATGGTGAAATTTATCGAAAATGATTGGACACGTCATGGTGAGCATAAATGTGTATACATGAGCTTGGCCGCTATTCATGATTCACAAATAAAATCAACGTTACAACATGCGCGCCCTGACGATGGATATGCACCGACGATACCTCAAATAGAACAAGTTAGCGCAGAGAAAGGTGGTGCGTCTTTGATTGCGGCCGGATTTTTGATGGAAGGTCGATTAACACGAGCCAAAATGGCATATCTGGAATATTTGGGCTTTGGTATGCAATTAGTGGACGATCTACAGGTGAGTTCTTCGGAAAGTTGTTTTCATATTTCCTCTGAATTAGAAAGCTATTGTTACATATTGACTTATCGACTCTTTCTCATTCGGTTTCTAATTCTACCTTCGATCTCTTTTGAAAAATACTGGTTATAATAATGTCCTATATCTTTTCTCTGAAAATCGACCTACTTCCACATATTTTGTTGCGTAGGACGTCGAGCTAGACATGAAAAACAATCATCGAACAATTTTTACTCAATCAATTGCCGAAGGACAAACGTTAGACGCACCCACAGCTCGTCTCATTCAGTACTGTTGCCGTGCATCTGCCTATGAAAAGTTTGTAATTGATGATTTGACATATTCGGATGTCAAAACTAGTGTTATGCAGCCCCATTATGCTTATGTTTTAATGGTGAAAGCTTGTATAATGCTTATTTTGGAAGCTGTCTCTCGACTGCCACAACACTTTTCGAAAGAATTCTATCGTGAAGTATCGACACTCAGCGCATTACCTTTCAATTGTCTAAGAAGAATACGTATAGAAGACAAACTGATGACAATTGTCCGAAATCAGTGGTTCTAACAGTTTTGCAGGTACATCAGTCGAAAAAACAAACTAACTTATATTTTTCAGTAATGCAAATCAATCTGCTATTCTCAACTCTTGCCTTTCAGCAATCAATCTTAGTCGATTTGATAAATAAAAATGAATTCAGAGTTGAGGGTGTGGATGTATTTATACCAAGAGTAAATCAACCGATAAGCAGATCAATCCATCCTTGAATCAAAAGATAAACGAATCTGTTGAGTCGTAAATTTTGCTTCTTCAGCAATCAATGTCGCAGTCGAATAGACGCGATTTTAAATAGAGTACGCTTCTCTTCAAAGAGTGTGGGTGTGGGTGTGGGTGGGTGTGGGTGGGTGTGGGTGTGGGTGTGTGGGTGTGGGCGTGCGGTATGGGATGCGGGTGTGGGTGTGAATGCGTGAAGAGAAGAGCCGCACCCACACCCTCAACTTTTTCATCACTATTATCTTATAAAGTAATTCTTCAGTAATGATAAGCGATCATTCTAAATACGAACAAAGAACAAATAAAATGACGCATTTTTTTCAGGTTTGAAACTGGATTATTTTATTATAAATAAAATCTAAACAAGATTTATTTTTCTAGTTCTTACTGTTACTAAATTTACAGATCTGGATGAAACACGTGCAAAAATATTTGCCCGTCTTATTTCAATGCCTGTTCAACTGAAATATCTTATTGTTGAAAACTTTCAATGTTTGGTATATGTTATTGAACATGTAAGTATTGATTTTATTTTAGATTTTTACATATATTTATGCTTATATGTTGCAATTACTATCAGTATATGTATTCGAATCAATCAAATCTTTTAAAATCTTATTATTTTATCGGTTAGAATTTTTCAAGGATCATACAGATATGTCCAAATCATTGTGCTCTAAGATACTTTTACATTAAATTCTATGATAAGATTTCTTAAAGATATTACAGTTGAATTAATCTTAAGAAAAAAATTGAATCTTTATTGAATGAAAATAATCTAAAAATAAGATATAGTTGATTATTTTTTGAGTAATATAAAAATATTCATAAGATAATTAAAATTTGATTTGACTTAGAAATAAATTTCTTAAATTACTTTAGTTTTTGATAATATATAAGGGCAAAATCAGAGAAAACGGGACATAGCCCTTTCATTTGATTTTGATTTTGTATAAGAGTGTTTTTTTTCTGAATAAGTTCTTTTAGTGTAGACATATGTAAAAATCTTTGCTCTTTCAAATGCGACCTAATTAAAATCAATTAACTAAGAAGTAATTGGTGAATCTCTCTCTAACCATATGACGAAAAAATCTAAAAATTTCAGGATAGACTCTACGGTCTAAGCCACATCTATGATAAAATTTTTAGCAAGATCAGACTCCAAAAATTCTCCTTATAAAAACCGGCTCTCTGGAGATTCCATCAAGTCAGAAAAAAGAAATTTTTGTCTTATCATCATCTCAAGATTCTGAGGAAGAATTTGTACCTTTTTGAATTTTTTTCAACTTTTCATTCCGTTATAAGAGTATTTTTTCGTTTGTATATTCGTACTCGTCACGTCGCTAACGAAAAGTAAATCAAATTTTTTGAAAAATCTATGCATACGTCAAAAAAAACATTGAGTAGCGGTTATAAAGTCCTATTCGTTGTCTACAGAATGTACTATTTAGTTTTCAAAAATGCTATCTTAATTCGAAGTTTTTTTAAAACTAAACTGCATGAAATAAAAATCGATGTCCTTTTTTGAGTCACATTGCTAACGCTAGTTTTTGTAGTAGTAACTCCTCTCAGCAAAGATCTCTAGGGCTGATATTTTCAGGATGTCTAGAGTAAGTTAACATACATACAACATATGAAAAGTAGCTCTTGGAAAGTTCATCGTCGTGAGATATACGTGTTTCAATTTTGTGCTGTCACGTCGCTAACGAATGTTTTTGCCCATACGTTTGTTTAAACGAGTAAAAATGATAAGAAAATAAATTCAATTGATTGATAAACAAAATTTTAAGAATTTTATCTGATTAATTGAAATTATTTTCCAATATTATTTTTAGACATGTGATCATTTGCGAAAAAAATGCATTACATACTGCTCAATATGCTGAATTTAGTATTTCAAGTTGTAATTTTGGAACAAATGAAGCAATTCATACTGGTAAACATCTTGTGCCTTTCCTCAGTACTTATATGCCTAATTTACAAATATTACGTCTTTGGAGACCAGATGATTTTCCTTGGACATCGAGTAAGTTTATTTATTAACAAAATATAGTTAATTAGAACTATCAATAAAAAAAAAAATTTTTATTTTAATTCTGAATATTGCTTAGTAAAATTTTATTAGTTATTTAATATTGATATAACAAGCTAAAATTGAATATAAAGTTAATATATCTGATAAAAATCTTATTAATGTAGCTGATAATGAAATGAAATTTGAAACTCATCCGTCCTTCGCATATTTATTATAATAATATATAAGATATATCTTCTCAAATGCAAGTGACTCCAATGACGATAAATTTTTTTCTATACATGTTTAATCATCACAGAAACGCTCTATCTTATTTATTTTTCTGTTTGGGATACGGATTTCTATTGTTGAATTCCTCTATTGCTAAGTTAATGCTCAGATATTGTGACCATGAAAGAGTATGAAGAGGTCATCTATTGCTTGGTCCTGAATTTTAATTGATAAAGAAAGAGGACTCTATTCTTTGGTATATACCTATTCATTTTTTTGATTTCGATTGATAGAGTTCAGAGTGGAAGCCGTAAAACTCTCGACTTATACTTCCGTTAACTATTCCTCGTCGAACAACACATGAGCTTCACAATAATATAGACCTAATGTGTGAAAAGTAAAACCTAATGTTCAGAAAATCTTTATTTTCTCCTTGAATTGTTTTACCTCATTAAAAAAATAATTAAAATCGTAGTCAAAGAACTATAAAAAAAAAATATCAAATTATTTTTATTTTATATAAAAAAGTATTTATTACATATGATTGTTTGATTTTTTTTGGACGATTTTATAAAAAAAATGAACAGTATATTTTCTAATCATTCATTCTTTGTTTATTTAACAAAAAAGAAAAAATATTTTCAGTTCAAAAATTTTTCTGTAATAATTATTCTTTTTGTCTTTTATGTCTTTAAGTTCGACCGAACTTCAAATATGGATACTATTATGGAGTTTCAAGAGGACAATGGCAACGAACTCTGCATACGCCTCAATCTATCAGTATGTTATTTAAACATATTTATTGAAGAAAAAAAAATCAATTTAATAAAATCATTATTATTTAGATGAACATGTAGTTGTCTTTGAACAAGATCTTTCTCAATTATTTGAGCAATTAAAACAACTTGCCTATCTTGATATTCATGGCGATACGTCGTCTGAAAAAATCGAACCTTATCGTTTAATGGTTCAAACTCGTTTTCCAAATAGTCGAATTGATATTCAGATATCAAGATTTCGTCTTTGGATGTAATTATTGAAGTTAATAGGACATCACTATACGTCAAAGAAAACTATTTTGTTTCTCTTTTTCCTTAACTGCTAATTCATCAAGATTTATTTTTATTATTCATTGATTTTCTTAAATAAAATAGAATTTAAATTCATTTGTAACAAGACCTTTTTTTAATCAAATCTCACATATGGAACATAATTTCTAATTAACAGTCCTATTAATAACAAAAATATCATCAACTATGCACTTAGAATTACTATTACTATTACCATTCAAACATTCTAAATATATCGAATACAAATCATCATTTGCAAATATAGAGCTAGGAGTGTCAACGTTTCTCGTTCTGAAGCGCTCCATTCCCAAGAAATGGGAACGCTATCTCATATTACGTTTTTCTAGCACTTTTTTACATATACCGAGCTGTTTATATACTTTTACTTAGCTTTTTTTATGTGCCATTATTATGCGTTCCGCGTTCCAGGAACGGAACGGGAACGCAACACCCCTAATTACCACCGATTTAAAAACTTTGCAATTAGCATTACAATAGATATGAATATCTCTCGATCTATGTTCCATTTAATATGTTGAGCATATCACTTATATCAGACGAACAGGTTACGATGACCACGTGTCAGAAGTTATATATCAAACATCATTTTTTTTTTCTTATAGGACTTTAAAACGATACGTTGAACAGTAGACTGTCTGATGCCAAAATGACATTTTTAAAAACAATACAAAAGTTATTGATATTTTTATAATAAATCATTGTTTTTGTGTTAATAAGGAAAATTGATTATTGCCTTCTATACTACTAGACTACATCAAATATTCAATACAATGATCAATAATAAACAATGTTTTTACTGAGAATCAGATGATTTTTCTGAAGAAATTTTTTGGACTGGAATGATTAAAGAATTAGTCTGTTGATTTTCTGTGCAGCAAACGAAATTAAAGAGTCCATTTTGCGTTACTGCACCCATTATGCAGTACCTACTAAACTCTCTTTACACAAGCAAAAAAAATTAGAATGTAGATCAAATGCTTTTTCTCTTTATTCTTTAACTTTCATTAACCAGGAAACAGTTAATAAGATTTATTGAATGTTGAATGTGTCAAGATGGATTTGAGTTTTCTATATGACAATAGTGGTATTAAAGTGCTAATATCATACGAAAAAGTATGCCATTTCTTAATCTAAAAAAAGAGATTGATCGATTGCAATTTTTTTCTAAATAGAAAAACTCATGGCTTGAATAGTTTCGTTTACGACGAAGAAAACCGAATTCAGAAGAAGAAATTAATGAAATTAATGATCTTATTCTTAATGTTTATGAATCAATGGATAATCAAGCTCGAGCTGTCCTTCTTTCTTTATCTACAATAGTTCAAGATGAAGATGAATCAGTAATAATAGAAGAAAAAAAATCAAAGCTATTGTTGCAATTGGTTATTCACTTTGTTGTGGTATATATAAAATCTTTGAGAATAAATTTTTATTTTAAATAATCGCACAGCTCATATGCAAGTAAAAAATTCAACACAACTCTATTCACAATTACTTGTTCGTGCATTGTCTCATCAAGATTTACGAATGCGTTTGACTGCCATGATTGCTGTTGCTGAAACGGCAATTGATAATCTTAGTTTTCAAATGAAAGTAATTACTATTCATAATACAGATATGTATATCCATCGGCGGGCCACCAGCATGGCAAAGTGTGGCAGTTGCCACAGCAAAAATATTCGGAATAACCGATAATTTGACAAAAATTGATCCCTAAAACGATTTTTTCCAGCAATTGCCACACCGAAAATTATTATTGCCACACCAAATATTTTACTGCTGGCCCGCCGATGTGTATATCCATTCTTTATGAAGGAAAATCTTATAAAGGTGTTGTTACGCAGCCGCTAAAACCAGTTATTCAAAGATAGATTTTAAAAGAGTCTGTTCTATTTCATATAACTGTCGAATAGTATACAATAGACTTCTTTGAATTTTTTCTCAGTTAAATGAATTTGCTATAATACCAAAATTATTCGAAATAATGAAAACTTCAATGGCACATGCTGGTCGTCCACTTGATGCTATTAATGAACATTCAAAGTTGGTTGCATGGAGTTGTTATACAATTGTTAATATTTGTGCCAATTGTATGCCAAGGGTGGGTGTGGGTGTGGGTGTGTGGGCATATATACTCTAAGCCTTCACCCACACCCACACCCCACACCCTCGCTTATTCCTTTTTTTATCAAGTGTTTTTTGAATTGGTCTATTAAATTAATCTTTTCAGTTTGAAGATATCTACTTCAATTCAAAAAAAGTCGACTTTAATATATCACAGTATAATGTGTCTCAGATGGCGCACACTTTTTCCTATTGGTTAAGTCGTCTAGCTAATGACTATTTTTGTAGCGCCATGTTCAAAAAAATAATTAAATTCGGAAACTAAGGGATGACAGTCGACTTGACTGATTCAGACGGCTTAAGCGTACTCACAATAATAAGGGGGTTGCGATTTGACTGAAATCTAACAAGTTTCTAAGAGTTTAAAAATATTCATGCACTGAGATATGGAAAAAACTAAGCAGAAGAACCACAATTAACCAGCAGTTTTCGAGCGGTTTGAACGACATGAGTTTAGAACATTTACAATGCTACGATGGTCATACTAATAGTTTTGTCCTCTATAATGATGGTTTCGTCCTTTTGATTTTCTGATTGATTAATTTTCGAATAATGAGATTTTTTTCTTTCACTTTTGGGGATTTCATTGCGTTGTGATAGTTTGAATCGATATTTAATTACTTGATAAACAATCACAATATCTATATGCATAGTATTTATTAGTAAATGAAAAATTTCAAACTTTACTCAAGAAATTGAATATCAACCAGGAAAAACGAAAGGAATTATTTTTATCAATTCATGAGTATTTTTGTTCTTACACAGATCAACAACACACTATATATTGATTGGTCTCCTCAACAGGGGATGTCAAAGAATGTCGGTGCCTTAGCTTCATTGATGTGGAGAAGTAACCAACTCAACTGAATCAAAATGATTTATAAAATGTTATTAAAGAAATAGCCGATTCTATTCAACAATTTTTCATGCAACAGTTAAATGTTTGGTAATACTCGAGTAAAAATCAAATTGATTAGTTGAAGAAATAACGCTGATGCAAGAAAAGTTAAATCTTAATGACGTCTTTATTATAGCTCAAGAAATATCATCATTATATCTTGAATATATTGTCAAATCAATTTTATGCCGTCTCTTAAGCAACTCATAATGGGATAGATTCACAAACAAATCATCTGAATTTGAAGAAAAAATTGATGATATTCATATGAAATTTATAGAGTGTAGTCTATCGTTCGAGTATGAACAATTGTATGACTCATTAATATTTTTCTGGAAACTATTATAAAAGAAATCAAATTAAACTTAACAGATATTCGTTTTCTAAAGAAAGATAGAGTTTAAATAGTCCATTATAGACACAAAACAGTACATGAACAATTACCATCACTCGAAAAAGCAAACTGTTTTAACTTTTCAGAACGTTTTGAGCATAAGAAATTGGTCATAAAGATATGATCGCTGCTTTAGAACAACACAAATCTCGTTTCCATTGTTGTAACTACACAATTTTTTATATTGTTGTATTTTTTTCTCTAAGATATTGATAAAAGAAAAACCAATTGATGAACAAGAAATAAAAATTTTTTCACTTACAACAGAAAAGTGTACTTCATCTTCAAGCTAATTTCACGGAAAACCTCATGTTTTTCCTCCATATATAAATGATGCATTAGTTTTCTATGCCGAAAATGTGTAAAATTTCTCAAAATTTCCGAAAGTCAACATTACAAAGCTCACAAAACCTTTTCTGTTTAATACCAACAAATCCCATTTTTGATGAGCTTTCATTTGGTATACAACTTCATTATATTCTCCTCACTGGAACAATATTATTTCCTATTCTACATCTTGGGGTATCCTGTCAGTTGATCACACTCATATATATGCTAATGAGTAATATATATCCTTCTACTTCCTATTTTTTGCTCTTTTAATAAGTCCCATAAAGAATCAAGCTGCAATTTAGTAAGTACGTATTGGTCATGACTTTGACGCTTTTTGCATTTGAATCGTAGTTATAACGTTGATAGTTACATATAAATGATAGAAAAAAGAAGAGAAAGAAAAAAAAGTAGAAGCCAAAAATAAATAATATTTGTATAGATAGTTATGCTTCATAGCGTAGCAATATATACAACCGAAATCGAATCGAACACATTTTCATAGGTTTGAGTTTGTTTTCAGTTTCACATTTACAATATTGAAAGAAAATTTTTTTTCACAACCATTGGTATGAAAATCATAAAGTTATATACTCTTATTTACTATGTTTAAATGAATATTTTTGTCTTTGTAAGCTATTTCTAAAGGGTTTGGAAAAGTTGACACTTGAATAAACTGCTTTACAGCACTTAATATTACTCATTACAAACTGCTTCATTTGAATAAACCGTTGAAACAAGGTTAGAAAATGGTTTTACAAACATTGCGAAGCATTTATCATCAATATTACTGTAAAAAACTATGACTTCTGTTATATATAAGCATTTTACAGCACTTAAAATGAAAATCATTGAAAAGTTCTGCTTCTTTTTCTTGTATTTAAACGCTTCGCTAGACTTGCAGTAGAAAGCAGTGAGAATTACTGTGATTTTTCTGATATTTCAAAAGTTACAACGCATTGTAATCTTTGATCACATATATTGTAGATAAGCACACTTATCATGACAATAAGATTTGAAGTAACATTTCGTTATGAACTTTACTCGATATATGCTAGTTATTGCTAGAACATGGAGTATATCATTTGGTTTAGTATAATGTAGCTCTAAAATTTATTTGTAATAGAAAATTCGTTGCATTCTTTTCTTTCTATCCGATTACACAGCGATTTGCTCGCTGCAGCGTTGCTATTGCC